GCAGAAAAGTTAAAAGATCCTGTCGTTAGTATAAAAGAGCTGAAAAATCTCTCCAACCAGTGCAAAAAAAAAAGTAGTGTAACTTGAGGCATTTCCTGGACTGTGTATGATTTAATGGTATCCCAATGGTGCAGACATTGGAAAGCGTTAAAAAAAAGTATTCAGGAAATAAGTTCAAGGAAGATTACTCAACAAGTATAGAATGTATTTTAAGGATCATCTACTATTAAAGAAATTACTGAAGAAACTTGTTAAGGAAATTTACAAGAGGTTACAGCTTCGTGGTCTCCCAGGTAAATTTGAATAAGGAGGCCCCACGTACAGTGTTGATTATACTCATTTTTCTTCGGATAAATTTTTTGGAGAGAAAATATTTTCTTATAAAAGATCTGTTTGGGGTCCCCCTTTTTGGTATGGGCTACAGGCAATTGCCCTTTTTTTTGTCCACAGGATAATGCGCCACTGCTTACAAGACAATTTATATGAAAATAAATAAAATTTAAAATGCTATTAGTTACTTTGTAGAAACATGAAATATATCAATCGATTGGATATCCAGGAATTAATTCCTCCACAAAAGGAAGGAAAGGGCTAACAAAATTTCGACTTTTCAGTCAAGCTTGACAGAAAATTGATTTTCAAATATGGAACACCGTTTCTTCGTCTATTAAATTTCTGTATAAGGAGGTAAAATGGGGGGGTTAGAGACGTATTGAAAGAGTTGAAGTTTCCGTTGTTGTATGTGACTTGCGTATAACCTGTCTGGCATTTTGACAGAATCGTGTATTAAAGAACCCCTGCGTGTCATTCAACTTCAATATATGACAGTTTTATATTCCGGAATAGAAAGCTATCACCTAAGTTTGCTGACAGAAAAACCTTGTGTTTATATCGACTACTTTATAAAATTTTTTTTATATATACCTTGTATATATAAGTATATAAATTTGTAAATATAAAGAAGAGAACATAATGCTTAAACTGATAAAACTACAATTGAAATCTTGTTTTATGAAACATCGAAATTTCCTTATCAAATATAAGAAAACATTAGAATTCTTGAAAGTACGTTTGTGTGTATATACAAAGCTTTATATTCTTTAATATATATATGCTTCAAAAATTCCAAAAGTTAAAATTCATAAGATTAAAATAGAAAAATAAAAGGAGAGGAGAGGGGAAAAAATGGTTAAAAAATCATCAAAGTAAGAACTAAGAATTAAGAAAAAAAATTGTTTCGTAATGTTATACTTTGGTCTGGATGTGACATTTTCAGACAAAGGTACCATTTCAATCGTTTGAGTAGCATTAAAGTTAGGCTATTTTTTTTTTTTTTTTTTTTTTAAATAAAGAAACTTTAGAATTCGAAAGACGACTTTTCAGATCAGAAAGACTTCAACGGAATAAATATATCTAAAAAAATAAAAATAAAAAAAAAAGAATAAAAGGAAAAAAAATGAAAACTACTATTTTCTTTTTTCAGGAGGTGAAATCCTATTTGCTGTATCTCCCAAGCAAAGAATCTTAACATGTGGCACCAGATGTCAATAGAGAAAGACAAACGTCCAATCATGGGTAAAAGTTCTAGTTTATTCTTTACCTTTTATACTAGACATCACGGTGCCAGTGTTGGATTCATTCTATGAAAACCATTAGAGAATTTTTTGGGGTTAACTATTTTAGTATAAAAGTAATATTGAAAACTGTAAATTATTCATGACAGACAAAAACCTGTCTGGAAAATCTGTTGGATTTAGAGAGACCAAACCCTTGTATAGTTTAGTTTATTGATGAAGTTTTGTGATTAATGTATCCACACCTGCTGAGACCTGATAGCACTATTACTTCTACCTTTAGCAGGATCGTTAGTTTTCTTCTTTGTGCCAATTCTGTCAATGTTTTAAGCTTGAAAAAAGAAAAAAAATACAGATTCTAGAGTAAGAAAAATGCCTTAGAAAATTATATATATATTAGAAAAAATTATTAAAATTCATAATAATAACATCTCACTGAAAACTGGTTAGAGACTTATGTTAAGATAATAATAAAATTTAATTGTCTGTAATTAATAAATGAATATATTTGAATTAAATATTATAATTTCTGTTTATAAAATGGAGAAATTTAAAAGTGATCTTCCAACTTTCCCTTAAGAATAGGTTAAATTGATTTAACAGAATGCCTTATTATTGATTCCATTGCTGAAACGTTTAGCAAGGATTTCATTTACTTCCATTAACGTAGCTAGATAATTGTGTCACCATCGGTGTGACATTTGTTCCCTTTTCCAGTAGTTGCTTAGCAACTGTGACGTAATAACACGTCAATCACTGCAGTGCTGCTATGATAACAATGAGCAGAGAGGAACTTAGGGTGACTGCCATCTAGTAACATCCTTTATAGTTAAAAATTTGTATAAAAAAAGAGAGAGGGGGGGGGAAATTAATTTTATAAGTTTCTAAATTGTATTTTTTTAAAAATAAATTTGTAGGTATGTCTGGCTGTCTGTCTGTCTATGTTTTTTTTTTTTTAATCCTTTCAGACAAATATTCATTCACTTAAATGCAAGTATATCATTTTATATTAACTGAAAGCAATTATTTTAAAAGCATAATTAATGTTTTATTTAATGACAGTTTGGAAATCTGAATCATTTTTCTTTTCTGGTTGTGAGTAATCATAATCTCATTAAAGAGAAAATATATTTTTTTTTTCTTCCTCCTCCTCTTTTCTAAATTATGGTTATTGTGTTCCTGTTTAAAACTAAAAGAGAAAAAAACAAATTATTATAAAAAAAAAAAAAATACTAAACTAGCATAATGACAAAAAGAACTGGTGAAGAAATTTTTTTACTTTATACTCTTAAATTTCTTTTTTTTTTCTTAACCTTTAAATCACTTTAGTGATGAGGTGAAAATATCTTCTACCTTGCTATTCCAGAATTTGACAATTTAAATTGTGAACTCTTACCTAAGGCCATTTAACTGAAGGATAAAAAAAAAATAAAAATAAATTGTAAAATCAATTCTTGAAAGTTGAGCCAACTTGTAAGGAAAGTCGAAGAATAAAAATATTCCCAGAAAGGATGATTTATAAAATAATTTTAATCAATGAAGATTATTTTTATCGAGTGATTGCACTTTTCTCTCTCTCTCTTTCTTTCCTTTCTTTTTCTTTAATTATTTAATCAAAGTAGTGAGGATAATAGCAAAATTTTGATTTAATAAAAATCTACTTTTTAGAATAATTTCCATTATCTGTAAAAGTTATTATTGGATTATTTAAAAATTATTGAGTAACATAAAGAATTTCCAAGATAAGAAACATAATCAAATTTATGACATTTATCAAAGCGTTAAATAAAAGAAATGCAGATTTTTAAGTAATAATAGAGAAATTAAATAATGTATTCTATCAAATAACTTAAGAAGGATGATACACGCAAACTTCAAACTAAAAAATAAACTGCTTCAAAAGAATAATAATAATAAAAAAGAGAGGGTTGATCTGACAGAATTCACAAGAAACTGAAAAAGAAATGCAATTTTATAAGTTTTAAAGAACTTAAAAAATAATTTATATATACAATAGATATATATTATACGAGTAAACTTTAGAAATAAAACTATTTCTTCGTATTTGTGGTTATATTCGTACTTTAATAATAGATATATCAATGAAACTGAGACTTTAACGTGATAGTATGTACCACATCTCACAAGGAAGGAATCAGTTCTACTCGTCATTCATAATGATTGATACTGGCGGCACAATATGCAGGAAGGAAATGTGAACTCTAAATTGCTTTTATTACAGTTGTTGCCATATCTGTGGCCATGATTGATGACAACCTATTCTGGTATGCATACAACAGAATTGACAAAATTCACATTTCCAAAAAAGTATTTTTATCTATAAACAATACACAATTCACACTGATTTCTAACAAAAGAACATCTCTATTCTTACATTTTATATAACTAAAAATTTAATTATATGTTGGATAATAAATAGAAATTTTTAACAGCCAATGTATGCATGGAGTTAATCAAAATTAGATTTAAAAATTAATATAATTTCTTTTGATGTAATGCAATTTGTGTGCATGAATAAAGTGCATTTCGGAAAAAGAACTTTGCTTTTAAATATGTCAATTGTGTTAAGTTGTAAATGGCAATATGGATAACAAAAATTTTGGAGTTTAATTAAATACGAGAGAAATTTTTATTTTAGATATAAAATTTTTTAAAAGTTAAATTCAATAAGTAAGTAAGAAATTGTTATATAAATGAAAATTTAAATATTATTTTTAAATATACATCATATAAGACAAATAATTAAATATCATAATAACATTTTTCTTATATTTTTAAAAATCAAATGAAAATTAAATAAAAATGAAATTTAGCTTTCAACAAAAGTATTTGCTAATTAAAGATAAGAATTAAGCCACACAAAAAGAATCATTATTTTCTTTAATTTGCTGGGTGTGGGAAATGATTCTTTCATTAACTTTTATGTAGAGTATTAACAGTGAAGTCCTCACAATAAAAGGAACTGTGACAAGAGTTAGTTTAATGACATACTCATTAAACAATTACATTTGACCTTCTGGTGACATTGGAGTTCCACTTCTCTTGTTTATATACAAAAATACATTTATCACATTAATGAATAATAAAGTGAATGGAAATGTTGTAACCACACTGTTTTCTTGCACATTACATTGATAAGTACTTAAGACAAAAGTAAAGAATAAAATTATAAAATAATTGTGTGTAAAATATTAAAATTTCGATCTTTTTTGAATTATTGATTGCTTTGACTTTTATATTTTTATTATAATTATCTTCTAAATTAATTTGTATTTATTTTGTTATGTAATAATGTGATTAATATTAATTTTCCAAATTAAAAATTAATATAAAGGTTAGAAAATTTAAAGTAATAAAATATACAAAGATGACTCAAAAACAACAGATGTTAAAACTATACCAAGATTTTTATTGAGTTAATATGAACTATACAACATTTATATTGATATTTGTAACTGTTACAAAGTGTACAATTTAAACACATATATAAATATATTTTTATGTACAAAAGCACTATTAACAAAGCTAAAAATCAATGTAACTTTGTTTCGAAATTAACCCGATTACTGTTCTATAAATAATAATAATAAATTCATAATTTTGGCAAATTATCGTCTTACAATTTCTGTTTGATGATATCTTGTGCAACATGAAACAGAAAGGGGATGTTTGTAACAGAATATCTAAATTGCTTTTATTACAGTTGTTGCCATATCTCTAGTGGCTTTTGTTGTGATTGATGATAACATGGTTTGATAGTTAGTGCTCAAACCTGACATATGATGAAAATATTCTTCTTTTTCCACTTGTACAGTAAAATTAACAAAGCCAATGTCTTTAAATATTGTTTGAATCTGAAAAATAATAATAATTGTTATTATTAATAACATACAAAACATTTTATGTAAAAAAAAAGAAATTCAAATACAACAAATTATTTAAGTTTTATTTCAAAATTTACATTAAGAAATGATAACAAATTTGATATTCATGTTTGAAACAATTTTCAATTTTATATACAATTAGCTGAATTGTTTCGTTTCTATACCAAATTTGAGATTAATAAACAGCTATAAAGTCTGTTAATTCACAGATAAATTGGTTTCATTGTTATAATGCATTCACTTCAGTGTATAGAAGTTACTTGACAAACTTATGAAATTCATAGAAAATTTGAGTACAAACAGTTCATCAATAAATATGTTTATAACTGAAATGGCTGATTGACAGAATATCATTTGTAAAAAATGATTTTATAGCTTGAATTAAAGAAACGATTGAAACACTAAAATCTCAATGAGATATTACAACTTATATTTTGCTTTTACTTATATATATTATATTATTAACTTTCACTTATATTATATTCCCAAAAATAAATTCTGTATTTCTCTTTTCAAAACTGAATAAACTAAATAATCAAATAAAATTGCACAGTCAAAACAACTGAAATATTTACCTGATTTATAATTTTCTGTTCGCTAGCATCCGGTTTAACTTGAACATGAATAGTACCAGCTTTTATGACTGCAGAATGTTGCCAAAAATGTTGATTACTATAGGAAAGGACACCGTCTACAGTCATTACCTACATTCCAATATAAAATAAATTATTATTAATTAAATAAATTCACAAAAAGCAAAATTTTTTTTCCATTAAAATTAATTTAAAATTACCTTATTAAGAGCTGAAGATATTTCCTTTTCAAGTGCTCTGGGTACCCTTAATAACAAAACCAATGAAGAATGTTTTAGTAGTGGTAAAACACTTAAGAATATTAGAATTGAAATAAACAGAGAACAAATTGGATCTGCGATATAATAGCCAAAGTGCTCTATCAATAATGATGATGAAATGACTCCGATGCTTCCTAATGTATCCGCCAAGATATGTAGAAAAACACCTACAAATAAATAAATAGAATAATTTAATATAAAGACATTTATTACCTAAAAGATAATATAACATTAGGGATAAAAAAAATTTCCTAATAAAAACTTTACGTGGTATACTTATACTAACATTATCGAAGTATTAAAATTTTTGTCTCATTCCGCTTTACGTAATAAATAGCATTAACTTTATAAGAATTTTTGAGTGGATTTTAAAGTTGATCCACTTTGAAAAATGAGAGTTGCCAGAGAATTCATAAATCAAAAATCAGACTAGAATGACAAAACACAAAATGATTGATACATGATTTATGACCCCAATAACGTTGATATAATGCTAAAAAACATTGCTAATTTTTATATTAGTACAAAATTTAGATATGAATAAATCTATTTGTATAATATGAAAATAATTAGTTTAAAAAATTTATTAAAAATAAAGAAAACGAGAAAGAGCTTTGGATGATTTAATAGAGCACTTTATGGATTTTGTGTTTTTCATTTTTGACTCTTTCTGCATTGTGGTCACTAATAGAATATTTTTTCCTCATCAAACAAACAATAGGTTTGATCAGGAGAAAAATCTGTANCTGAAATGGCTGATTGACAGAATATCATTTGTAAAAAATGATTTTATAGCTTGAATTAAAGAAACGATTGAAACACTAAAATCTCAATGAGATATTACAACTTATATTTTGCTTTTACTTATATATATTATATTATTAACTTTCACTTATATTATATTCCCAAAAATAAATTCTGTATTTCTCTTTTCAAAACTGAATAAACTAAATAATCAAATAAAATTGCACAGTCAAAACAACTGAAATATTTACCTGATTTATAATTTTCTGTTCGCTAGCATCCGGTTTAACTTGAACATGAATAGTACCAGCTTTTATGACTGCAGAATGTTGCCAAAAATGTTGATTACTATAGGAAAGGACACCGTCTACAGTCATTACCTACATTCCAATATAAAATAAATTATTATTAATTAAATAAATTCACAAAAAGCAAAATTTTTTTTCCATTAAAATTAATTTAAAATTACCTTATTAAGAGCTGAAGATATTTCCTTTTCAAGTGCTCTGGGTACCCTTAATAACAAAACCAATGAAGAATGTTTTAGTAGTGGTAAAACACTTAAGAATATTAGAATTGAAATAAACAGAGAACAAATTGGATCTGCGATATAATAGCCAAAGTGCTCTATCAATAATGATGATGAAATGACTCCGATGCTTCCTAATGTATCCGCCAAGATATGTAGAAAAACACCTACAAATAAATAAATAGAATAATTTAATATAAAGACATTTATTACCTAAAAGATAATATGAAAGAATTTCCTTGCACTTGAAAGATTCTATAAGAATTTTTTTATTTTATTTTATTTTTATATTTTGAAGAAAGCAACTTTTGAGTTTTAAACTGAAACATGTGTGGGACTGGAACAGATTGTAGTAAAATTTTCAGTCAAGTAGGCGAAGAGAAATACTCTTCCTGTTCTTTATATCCAATTTTTTTTTTTCGTGTTTAAAAATCAAATTCTTCATCACTAGATAAAATTTTAATTGTCGAGTAATCTCTTTTGTCCTTTATAAATTATAATTTGTTAAGGGAAATGAAACAATGAGATTCTATTGGGAGACATTAAAAGCTTTAATAAGTGAGATAGAAATAAAATGAACAAAAGACTATCATTAGTGGCTTATCGATAAAAATTTTCTTTCACATACCTACTTGGGATATAAACGAGTAAGTAAAGCATAGTTCCTTCGAGACTTTCACATCTTTGCACCACTCTTAGCTTGAAGGTAGATTTAAATCTGAAAAGTTATGTAAAAATCTAGTGAAAACTCGTTTTGAAAATGTGGAAAATTTGGATTAAATATGTTACGAAAATATATTACAAGAATATCAACTTGGTGCAGCTCGATTTGAGGTAAAAAGATATCTTTGCAAATTCTCGCCTTCACAACTGAATATTTTGCCATACAGGTGAAAAAGAGCAGCAAGGCACTTTCCAACTAATGCAGAAAAGTTAAAAGATCCTGTCGTTAGTATAAAAGAGCTGAAAAATCTCTCCAACCAGTGCAAAAAAAAAAGTAGTGTAACTTGAGGCATTTCCTGGACTGTGTATGATTTAATGGTATCCCAATGGTGCAGACATTGGAAAGCGTTAAAAAAAAGTATTCAGGAAATAAGTTCAAGGAAGATTACTCAACAAGTATAGAATGTATTTTAAGGATCATCTACTATTAAAGAAATTACTGAAGAAACTTGTTAAGGAAATTTACAAGAGGTTACAGCTTCGTGGTCTCCCAGGCAAATTTGAATAAGGAGGCCCCACGTACAGTGTTGATTATACTCATTTTTCTTCGGATAAATTTTTTGGAGAGAAAATATTTTCTTATAAAAGATCTGTTTGGGGTCCCCCTTTTTGGTATGGGCTACAGGCAATTGCCCTTTTTTTTGTCCACAGGATAATGCGCCACTGCTTACAAGACAATTTATATGAAAATAAATAAAATTTAAAATGCTATTAGTTACTTTGTAGAAACATGAAATATATCAATCGATTGGATATCCAGGAATTAATTCCTCCACAAAAGGAAGGAAAGGGCTAACAAAATTTCGACTTTTCAGTCAAGCTTGACAGAAAATTGATTTTCAAATATGGAACACCGTTTCTTCGTCTATTAAATTTCTGTATAAGGAGGTAAAATGGGGGGGTTAGAGACGTATTGAAAGAGTTGAAGTTTCCGTTGTTGTATGTGACTTGCGTATAACCTGTCTGGCATTTTGACAGAATCGTGTATTAAAGAACCCCTGCGTGTCATTCAACTTCAATATATGACAGTTTTATATTCCGGAATAGAAAGCTATCACCTAAGTTTGCTGACAGAAAAACCTTGTGTTTATATCGACTACTTTATAAAATTTTTTTTATATATACCTGGAGTAATGGCGCGTTTGCTGGTAAAGCGGCTTTAACATAAACCAAATGTAAAATTTAATCAGTAATATTTATTGGGNTTTTACTCTTTATATAATTAAATATCTGAATTATTATATAATCCAGTATTAGCTATATCATTCATATGATTTTCCTGTACATTTTTTAACATAAACAATATCAACTAAATGATAAAATCTTTTAACCCAGACAAATCTCTAGCCTTTGTTAAGTAAATGCACATAAGACATGGAAAACATTTGTGACAATGCACAAAGTGCCCCCTATGCTTCCGCACCACGGGACCAAAAGGTTGACACTGCATTTGTGATGGCAAAGTTGTTGGGACTGACATCACTGTGTCTTATGGACAGACACAAAAACCTTTTTTTGCGCAAACAGTTGCCTCTGTAGGCACTTGGACAATCATGGGAAAATTTTTTCCACAAATTTTTAAGATAATTGCAAAAATTTCATCAGGTCCGGGCTCTCACACATTAAATAAATTTAATAAGGGGAAATTAATTACATACACAATTAAACAATACAATTCATTTAAGTTAATCCTTGTCATAACCTTCTGTAAAAATCAACAAACAAACCCTTCAGAAAACCGAAAAACACTTCACTAAACCTAATCCTCAGCCTGTAAATAATAGCCTAAATCACAACATTCAACAACATCTTGAAACATTTTATCTCATGTTCTTATTCATATGCACCAATGATAACTGAAAAATAAGAAAAATGTATAATTTGAAATAAATTTCTAAGCTCCTAAAGCTTTTACTGTTTGTAATAATAAAAATCTAATTTGCAACTAAACTATCAATTTGATTAGTGACAAATTTATATTCCAAGAATCAAAAATTTACTTTAATAATTCAGCTCACTTATACAGATATTAATATAGTTTCAATTATAACTTGTTACTTATTTTAGTAATTTACATAAAATCACAAATATCTGATTAATGAATTGTAATATAATTTCATATATAGTATGATTCACCTCCATTTCAGCACATAATATTCAGGATAAAGTATTTAGTGTACTGTATGTAATTTAATTAAACCGTCCTGCACCTTTGGCACTCAGTCCCAAAAATTTTACTGTATTCTGCTTTAAAAAGTAAAATTAGAATGCATACTTACTTAGAGAAAAAGAGACGTTTAAAAGAAGTCATTTACAATTATAAAATATATCAGATATACATGATTACATGCAAAATCTGCTTAGCTATAGCAAATAATAATAATAACATGTTTAATTAATTAAGCATTTTATTATAAATGTTGCACATATATTTTTTTATTCAAGAGTGGACTAGGTAGAGGTTATCTGTAACCTACTGAAGACTGTTTGGGGAATTCATTAGCCTATGGGAAATTGCAATTTCACATATAAGATGCAGAACAATATTTTGAGTCTTTGGACAAAAGTTGATTCATATATGCCATAAAATACAATAATGCTAAAGTTCAGCTCAAAAACTGAAGTGAGGTTAATCTATATATTTCATTGTAGTCTTTAATTTTTTTAAATCTTAGTCTTCACCANAAGACGACTTTTCAGATCAGAAAGACTTCAACGGAATAAATATATCTAAAAAAATAAAAATAAAAAAAAAAGAATAAAAGGAAAAAAAATGAAAACTACTATTTTCTTTTTTCAGGAGGTGAAATCCTATTTGCTGTATCTCCCAAGCAAAGAATCTTAACATGTGGCACCAGATGTCAATAGAGAAAGACAAACGTCCAATCATGGGTAAAAGTTCTAGTTTATTCTTTACCTTTTATACTAGACATCACGGTGCCAGTGTTGGATTCATTCTATGAAAACCATTAGAGAATTTTTTGGGGTTAACTATTTTAGTATAAAAGTAATATTGAAAACTGTAAATTATTCATGACAGACAAAAACCTGTCTGGAAAATCTGTTGGATTTAGAGAGACCAAACCCTTGTATAGTTTAGTTTATTGATGAAGTTTTGTGATTAATGTATCCACACCTGCTGAGACCTGATAGCACTATTACTTCTACCTTTAGCAGGATCGTTAGTTTTCTTCTTTGTGCCAATTCTGTCAATGTTTTAAGCTTGAAAAAAGAAAAAAAAATACAGATTCTAGAGTAAGAAAAATGCCTTAGAAAATTATATATATATTAGAAAAAATTATTAAAATTCATAATAATAACATCTCACTGAAAACTGGTTAGAGACTTATGTTAAGATAATAATAAAATTTAATTGTCTGTAATTAATAAATGAATATATTTGAATTAAATATTATAATTTCTGTTTATAAAATGGAGAAATTTAAAAGTGATCTTCCAACTTTCCCTTAAGAATAGGTTAAATTGATTTAACAGAATGCCTTATTATTGATTCCATTGCTGAAACGTTTAGCAAGGATTTCATTTACTTCCATTAACGTAGCTAGATAATTGTGTCACCATCGGTGTGACATTTGTTCCCTTTTCCAGTAGTTGCTTAGCAACTGTGACGTAATAACACGTCAATCACTGCAGTGCTGCTATGATAACAATGAGCAGAGAGGAACTTAGGGTGACTGCCATCTAGTAACATCCTTTATAGTTAAAAATTTGTATAAAAAAAGAGAGAGGGGGGGGGAAATTAATTTTATAAGTTTCTAAATTGTATTTTTTTAAAAATAAATTTGTAGGTATGTCTGGCTGTCTGTCTGTCTATGTTTTTTTTTTTTTAATCCTTTCAGACAAATATTCATTCACTTAAATGCAAGTATATCATTTTATATTAACTGAAAGCAATTATTTTAAAAGCATAATTAATGTTTTATTTAATGACAGTTTGGAAATCTGAATCATTTTTCTTTTCTGGTTGTGAGTAATCATAATCTCATTAAAGAGAAAATATATTTTTTTTTTCTTCCTCCTCCTCTTTTCTAAATTATGGTTATTGTGTTCCTGTTTAAAACTAAAAGAGAAAAAAACAAATTATTATAAAAAAAAAAAAAATACTAAACTAGCATAATGACAAAAAGAACTGGTGAAGAAATTTTTTTACTTTATACTCTTAAATTTCTTTTTTTTTTCTTAACCTTTAAATCACTTTAGTGATGAGGTGAAAATATCTTCTACCTTGCTATTCCAGAATTTGACAATTTAAATTGTGAACTCTTACCTAAGGCCATTTAACTGAAGGATAAAAAAAAAATAAAAATAAATTGTAAAATCAATTCTTGAAAGTTGAGCCAACTTGTAAGGAAAGTCGAAGAATAAAAATATTCCCAGAAAGGATGATTTATAAAATAATTTTAATCAATGAAGATTATTTTTATCGAGTGATTGCACTTTTCTC